AAGGAAAACGCCGAACTACGTCAGGAGTCGCCTAGCGTGGATGACGCAAGTAGCAGCACTGCACCAGATGAGCGGGTCTGGAGCGAGCTGGAAGGCGAGATGGATGCGGACGAGGCGCGGCAGGCGCAGCAGCAACAATCACCACAACAGTCGCGGGTAATCCAGCTGGCTCCGCAACTCGGCGAGCTCTGGTTGGCTGAGCCGCCACTGTGTCCGCACAGTAGGTTGCGCTCCTGGCTCCAGCTGGATCCGATGATCTTCCGGGCGTTGGGGGGGCAGGCTATCCGGGAGGTTATCCGTGAAAATTTCGGGGCACCTCCGAATAATGCTCGCGAATTCCTCAGGGACTGCCGCGAAGAGGGTGTCGATGTCCGCGATTTTCTCGGAAGCTGCCACCTCGTACAGGTGTACTAAGAAGGCCTGTGCTCCGCTGTTCATCGCTCGTGCCATGTTGACCGCGTTGACACGTGTCGTCACCGGCTCCGGCTCCGTCCATTTCGGAAGCGTCGTCTTCCCTCCATATCCTCGTACGACTCACACCCCAGTCGTCCAGTCGATCGTCGGATTGAAGCGCTGCTGCCAATCTCTCCCGAGCAACATATCGCAGCCGTCCAGCGTCGTCGCCAACATCTTCATGCCAAACCCAAATTTGTCGCCACACTGTATCCGAATTTTTCGCGCCTCATCTCGGATGGTCAGCGGTGTCCCGTCCACCAACCTTGCATCGATCTCCGGCAGACACCTGGTCAGCTTCACCCCTATTTTTTTGGCCGTTGCCAGGTTGACGAGACTGTGGCTCGCCCCACCGTCAACGAAGATTTTTATTTTATAGTCGTTAACCTTCCCCACCTCCAGCACAGGGTAGTCTACGTGTTCATCCACGTTATTTGTCCGCTCTGGTCGATAGCTCTGATCGGTACCACGTTCCGGTGTGGATGGTGATTGTCGGGCGACAGGGTCTCGTCAGTAGGTGGCCCTTCTGCTACTGACTCACATCTTTTCCCGACCCTTCTCCGTCGTTCTTCTTCCCCTGCTTAAGCCTCGGGCAGTCTTTTTTCAGGTGGCCCAGCTGGTTGCATAAGAAGCACGGCCCAAGGGCTCGGCTTGGTGCATCCACGCCGTTGATCGTGGGCTGCTGAGTCGATCCACGAAATCGAGGGCCCTCCCGGGAGCTCGATCTCGCCCACTGCATCAGCGCATCCGTTGACTCGGCTTCCCGGACGGCGTCGTTGAAGCTGCGTGGCCGGGTTCGTCGGACCTCGTACTGTATCTCGTATTTCAGGCCCGCCACGTAGCGATCCAACCGCTCCGCATCGCTCATGTCGTCCACTTGGTCCGCCAAGTTGCAGAATGTGTTGGTGTAGTCTTGGACTGAAGTCAGCTGCTTCCAGGCACGCAGCTTCATGCGAGCAAAGTCCGAGGCGGATATGTGCTCGAATCTGGTTCGCAAGGCGGCGCCCCACTCCCTCCATGTGCGTATTGTAGCCGTTCCGAAAATCGATGCTGCTCGATGCGTGACAGGTGTTGAAGTCCCGTCGTTCGCACGTGCTATTCCTGCCGAAGTCCCTTCGTCCTGCAGCGTTCGCCTCCACCACTCCAGCGCAGGTCCTCGCAACAGTGAAACTGCGAAATTAATGCGGGTGGCATCGTCATAAATCATGGCAGCATTGAAAAACACCTCCACGCCGAACAACCATGCAGAAACAGTGACGAACTTGTCACTTGGGTTAAACGGGGGCGGGTTCGTCGGCTTGATCTTGACGGTTGTCAAAGCCGTTGCTGCCATCGGGGCCGTCGGCATCGCTGCTGGTGTCGCCGTCGTCGTCGCTGCTGAGAATTTATACGGCCAAGCACGTCGCCGTATGCAGCGCCGATACTGTTAACCCGGATGCACCAGACATCCTGACCCCGCGCTCTTACGCTGAGGCGATCGCGGGTGAGTACTCCTCTCAGTGGCAGACAGCCATGGACACAGAGATGGCATCCTGGAAGTCCACAGGCACTTACGTCGATGAGGTTCCCCCTCCCGGGGCGAACATCGTCGATGGCATGTGGATTTTCAGGGTGAAGCGGCCGCCGGGTTCTCCGCCTGTCTTCAAGGCTCGTTACGTTGCTCGAGGCTTCAGTCAGCGGGAGGGAGTTGACTTCTTCCAGACCTTCTTCCCCACCCCGAAGATGACCACTTTTCGGGTGCTGCTGCACGTTGCCGCTCAGCGTGACTATGAGCTTCACTCTCTTGACTTCAGCACAGCCTTCTTACAGGGCAGCCTGCACGAGGAGATCTGGCTGCGCCGCCCACCTGGCTTTACTGGGTCGTTTCCTCCTGGTACCTAGTGGAGCCTCCGGCGGCCAGTCTACGGTCTCCGCCAGGCGCCGCGTGAGTGGCACGACACACTGAGGACGACACTTGCGGCTCTTGGGTTTGCTCCTTCGACTGCTGACCCGTCGCTGTTTCTGCGCACCGACACTTCGCTGCCGCCGTTCTACATCCTCGTGTACGTCGACGACTTGGTCTTTGCCACTGCTGACACTGAGGCTCTCGCCCTGGTGAAGTCGGAGCTGCAGAAGAGACACACATGCACAGACCTGGGTCAGCTTCGTCTTGCTCACGTGGCCACTCGGGCCAACACTGCTGATATATTCACCAAGGCACTTCCGTCTGGTGATCATCAGCGCTTTTGTACTTTGTTAGGCCTTGTGCCTACGTTTCCGCACTTGCTGTAGACTTTGCTTGTACTGTGATATAAATATATATATATATATATATATATATATATATATATACCTGCATGCTTGCTCTTGCTAGGTAATGATCACTGTGCTGTTGTTGCTGCATATATATCTCTGCATGTGAACTGGCCTTGTGGCCCTTTGCTTGTGCTCAGTGTGTGTGGTGACGTGATCCACCCTGAGCTTGCTTTTCTTGACTGGTCTTGTGACCCCTTGCTCTCCCCCACTTTGCCTATGGGGGTGTGTCAAATTATATACGAACTATAGTTGTGTAGGCTGTAGTGGGGTAGCCAATATGGGGTACAACCCCTTTAGGGTTTGATACTTGTACCCAACTTTCATCTAGATCACACATTCCTGCTTGCTATCTTGATAGAGTCGGCGCGTCACTACCTTCTCAGACTCCCACATGCCTTTGCTGAGCCGACAGCCGCTGGTACTGCTCCTCTGTTGTTTCCGCCGCCTGACCTATCTCAGGCACTGTTTCCGCCTGAGTCCCTTCTGCCTTCTCCTCTTTATTACTCCTCGTTGCTTGACACCCTAACTGAGCGTACCGTAGGTAGCCTGCGTCTCCTCGTTGCCTGTTGGCGTAGGCGCCTGTGCGTGCAGCTGCGTGCGTGGCTGCACTCGCAATTGTCGAGTGCGGGCGTAAACTAACTGATACCACGTCAGAAGAGTGAGAGAACATGATGACTAGCAGGATGTCGTACGTGGTTCGTATCAAAAATGTTCTCTCTACAAGAATTCATACAAAAGACACACCCACACACCCACACCCCCCCTCCCCCTCCCCCCCCCCCCCCTTCACACACACACATACAGACCATAAATACAGCAATGTCTAGAGGAAAACGCAGCATGGGTCCACCCAAGCACAAGTCAGCGTACTGACACCATAGCTGCAAATCGGGGCTCTATTGGACTTGGACACATGCGTCTGCAGAGAGGTGCTCAACCATAGGAGGCAGCCACACAAATCTGCAATCAAGGATGCACCAAATGGGAGGCATTGAAGATATTAATCACTACAGCACAAGTTGACAGTGCATTGCAGAAAAGCTTGTAGACCACTACACCCCTAACATTAGAAAAGCTATGTAAGTGCCAAAACTTACAACATCAGTGTCGCTCTGGGAATTGCGGAAGGAGATCCAGGGATTGAGCCTGCAGAGCTCCACCATGGTGACTCCATTGGATGCCGCCACCTGCTGGAAGTCCACCGCTCGGCCGATCGTTATCTCTTTCACACAACTTGGACTGAGCTTGGTTGGGTCGCGCTCCACACAGAGGGAACGGTACGCGGGGAGGCTAGAAGGGCATGTAACATCGGGGTTGTTATCCAGCAGAATTTCCTCAGTGATGTTGAGAAACTGAGCCACGGACGAGCATGTGTCATTCTGTGGGGGGAACAGGAAAGGGAAAATGGTGGGGAGGGGTTTGAGAAGGAAAGAGGTGGTCCTATGGGGCGAAGGAAGATTCAACAACGCTGAGGTAGTGGAACGCTGGGAACTCTTAAGGTGCAAAAAGGACCCAGTAGCACGTGGCCTTCTTGCCGCTTGGGCGAAGGATGGTTAAGGGGAGAGTGCAGGGTGAAGGGGAAGCACAGCTCATGTCAGCACATGATGGCACTGGTAGCATCCCCGCTATCCATATGCGGTGGATGGGATGCTCCCATAGGAGGAGCAACAAGTCGGACTCACCGGCTGGACATAGTAGAACGCAGAGCAAGCTGGCTTTGTCTCTTTCACCTTGAGTACTTGAAGAAAAGGAAGGAGAGCAGAGCAGTCAATACCCTAGAGGGGAAGGGGCAGTGAGAGAGGAGAGGGTGAGGGAGAGGGAGACAGTGGAGCAGAGGGGGAGAGAGAGAGAGGATGAGAGAGGAAGAATGTGAGAGAGAACGAGGGTGAGCGAGTGGTGCGGTAGAAAGAGAGGGAGAGAGTGAGGGAGGAAGTGATTCAGTAAGTGAGAGGTGAGGTAGAAAGAGACTGAGAGGGTGGGAGAGCAAGAGAGGGTGAAAGATGGTGGAAGAAAGATATGGCACAGAAACAAGAATGGCACGGCATGCTCAAAAGATGCACACAGGCTTGCGGGAATCGAGATGGCTCGGCGAAGCACGTTGCAGGGCTCACCAGGTTCATGTTGGTGAACTGCTGCGACGTGAGGCCATACATGGTGTACACGTCCTCGCAGCTCCAGTCGCTGCCCCAGACTCTGATAGACGGAATTGGCCACGAATCCTCACCTGCACACGCTCAACGGGAAGGGTGATAATGCCACGTACGCGATCAGCCACGGATGATGCGAGTTCACCATAGTCGATCAGATCAATACATTTGATCCGGGAAACACACAGCTCGAATTTCAATGTGTAAAGTGCTAGCAGTATCCACTATTGGGTGAAGTGTTGCCAGCAGAGAGCTAACCACAGTTGTTGTAACCATGAGGCCTTACGACAAGTGAAGCAATCAGAGCCGTCACAGTCGTAGATAACTGGGAGGTGGTTGGGCCGACAGACGCAGGTCGGGTGCTCAGCGCCACGGTCGATGCACGTGCCCCCCTTACACGGGTTGACTCTGCCAATGCTACACTTGCTCGCTGGCGGGGGGAAACACACAAGGAGCAGAGAATGGCAGGCAGTGGAGTTGCAAGGAGGATACAATTGGGGGATCCGTGGGACAGGAAAGGGCAGAGAAGGCGAGGAGCATCGCTGCTGCCAGTACTGAAATGCTTTGATCAGGCAATGGTGCTTCCCACGGGCACATGGGATGACAGCCCCAACATGCATCCTCAATTTTGGAAGGATAGGGGGATGGCGGAACAACTGCATTGAGGCTTACTGCTAGAACTCTCTGCGTCAGAAGCGGAGGTGCTGTTGGTAGAAGTGGTGGTGTTGCTGGCAGAAGCGGTGGTGTTGCTGGCAGAAGCGGTGGTGTTGCTGGCAGAAGCGGTGGTGTTGCTGGCAGAAGCGGTGGTGTTGCTGGCAGAAGCGGTGGTGTTGCTGGCAGAAGCGGTGGTGTTGCTGGCAGAAGTAGTGTTGTTGCTGGCAGAAGCGGTGGTGTTGCTGGCAGAAGCGGTGGTGTTGCTGGCAGAAGCGGTGGTGTTGCTGGCAGAAGCGGTGGTGTTGCTGGCAGAAGCGGTGGTGTTGCTGGCAGAAGCGGTGGTGTTGCTGGCAGAAGCGGTGGTGTTGCTGGCAGAAGCGGTGGTGTTGCTGGCAGAAGCGGTGGTGTTGCTGGCCGAAGCTGTGGTGTTGCTGGCAGTAGCGGTGGTGTTGCTGGCAGCAATGATGCAGCGGGCGGACTTGACTGCCTTGCTGAGGGACGTGGACCTGGGCATTGGGAGGCACCGGGAGAGTGCAAGGTCGCTAGTCAGGTGCAGTATGAAGGAATGCCGTTTCGGAGCAAAGAAGCAGATAGATGGAGAACGAAGGGCTCACCTCTGCTCGCCTTGCGCGAGAGTGTCCACCGTCTTCCCCGTGCACTTGGAACTGTTGAAGAACTGAATCGCCGTGCAAGCAGTCTTGTTTCCCTGCTGCCATGTCACCTGCACGCTCCTATTCCCGCCGCTGGCTGGAATGATGACACAGCGGAGGGCGTTGAAGGTGAGAGAGCGGCTGCTGATCTTCATACGCGTGCCCACTACGCTCGCTGATGCTGCGGCTGCTGCCTGCGACACCAGCAGGGGACTCGCTGCAAGGATGGGATGGGAGAGCACGGGGAAATGCCAAGGTGAGAGCGCGGCCGCTGATCTTCATCCGCGTGCCAACCACGCTCGCAGAATTACCCGATGCCGCGGCTGTTGCCTGCAGGGGGACACGCTGCAAGGATGGGAGCACGTGGAAAATGCGAAGGCACGGGGCGAGGTGCCATGTTCAGTGGAGTTCACGGATGGCACCGCTTGCGCCGTGCGAGCGTCGTGCTAGAATCGTGCCATGCGAGCGTCGTGCCGTGCGAGCGACGTGCCGTGCGAGCGACGTGCCATGCGAGGCCCGTTCTAGAATCGCGAATGCGAATGAACTTGGCAGGACGGCGAATGCGAAGATGGGTACATGGGTGCATGAGCGTGAAGCTCGCATGATGCGGCGTACCAGCGATGACGGCAATGACGGCGAGCAGCGCAAGCACGGCCTTGCCCTTCCCCATGCTGCTGCTTCCAGCGGCCGCCTCTGACCCTTCGCCCTTGAGCGAGCAGACGCAGGTGGCTCAGCACGGACGAGGATAGGCGAAAGCACGAGTAGATGGTGCAGCAAAGAAGTCACACGGGTAGCGCCGCGGAGAAAGATGATAGATTTGGTGCCGGAGAAAGATTACAGATTTACAGACACGAAAGGGCGGAATCACACGAAAGGCGTTTGGTTCGACTGATGATGTAACGGATCTACTAAGAAAAAGGGCATTTACCCATATAAAGATAAGTTCTAACACAAACAGAGAGTAGCAGCTCCTGGAAATCACTAAGTCTGGAGAGTGCTAGGAGATGCAGTAACAAACTGTGGAAGGTGAGTTGAGGAGAAGACAATCCTATTTCCCAATTGATTTGTTGGGAGTAGGAAATGAGGAATGAGCCAAGAGGCTTCAGACCCCTTCCCTAGACCCCCTTGGGGTGCAGCCACCTTCCCCATGGCAAGGAGGGGTGCACTCCCTTGGGTCTTGCCCATGTGGCAACAAACAAGATTTTCAACCAATTACATTTTAGATAGCAAGGATAAGAATTGCATAGCAATCACAAACCTGTATTTGTTTCTCATTGGTTGTGTTTGAAGTGAGCGGCGGAAACATTGTCGACTCACTCTTGGGGCTGTGATCTGATTGGTTGAATTAGTGATGAGGTGAACTTACGTGGGTTATGTTTGAACAAGCTCAAACCAATTGCGTAAGTTTGACTCAGCAACAATTTCGATTGGTTGGTTTCCCAATCAATCCTGAATTGCCCGTAAGTCTCGCTTTCCCAACCAACCAGATTTCCCCACATTTCTCCCTCAGCTGGTTCGACGTATCGAGACCAGCTGGGGTTGGGTACGGATGTTACACTCCTCCCCCTCCAGCTGGCAACGTCCTCGTTGCCGTGGGGTGCTTCTTAGGACGAGTGCTACGAGCACGACGAACCACATTACGACCAGGGTCAACACCATCCGCTGGTTGTGGGAGTGCTCGCTGAGCCAGGTCTTCCATGTAAGACTGAACCGCAGTATCAGTCAAATGTTCTTCCGGCTCCCATGAGTTGTGTTCAGGCCCATAGCCTTTCCACTTAATGAGGAACTCTCGTACAGTCTTGCGGCCGCGTTGTCGATCACGATGCAAAAGCACTCGTTCGACTTCATAGTACAGTTCCTCCCCCAGGACGATTGTTGGTGGTGGTAAGTACTTGCCGTCTGCAACGTACTTGCTTAACAGAGACACATGGAAGACATTGTGAATCTGCAGGGTATCAGGTAGCTTGAGCTTGTAAGCTACCGCACCAACTCGTTGAGTCACCTCAAAGGGCCCAATCCATCGAGGGAACAACTTTCTCGCACCAGGGATCTTAAGCCGAATATTCTTCGTGCTTAACAAAACTTTGTCTCCAACGGAGAACGAGATTTCCCGGCGTTTCATATCGGCATAGGATTTTTGCCTTTGTTGGGCCAATTGCAACCAACGACGTGCCGACTTTAGGGCCTCTCGCTGCTTGCCCACAAAATCCTTTGCGGCAGGTAATTTCAACCCGCCGATCCCATGCGTAGCAGGTGTTGTGGGATGCCGACCACAGTTCAGGATAAATGGTTTTTCATGTGTGCTATCATGCACTGAGTTGTTAACCGCAAACTCGACCATGGGTAACAACTCGTCCCAGTTGTCCTGTGTTGGGCTTATGAAAGAACGAAGCATCTGCTCGAGAGTGCGATTAGTCCGTTCCGTTTGCCCATCTGTTTGGGGATGGAACGCTGACGACATCTTAAGCTTCGTTCCTAGTGTCTCAGTTACTTCACGCCAGAATCGGCTCGTGAAGCGCGGGTCGCGATCAGACACTAACACACGTGGCAATCCGTGTAGGCGGAACACATGTGTCACGAACAACCGAGCCGTATCCTCTGCTGATACGTCCGTTGTCGTGGGTACAAAGTGCACCATTTTTGTAAGGCGGTCTACAAAGACGAGTATCGCCGTATACCCATCACGGGTTCTTGGGAGGTCGGTGATGAAATCCAGTGAAACGCTTTCCCAAGGTTCACTCGGAATTTCAAGTGGTTGAAGCAAACCACCAGGCTTCTGTGTGTCCGGTTTGTTACGTGCGCACGTGTCACAACGTGCCACAAACTGTTGGACATCACTACCGACTCCAGGCCACCAATATACATCGCGTAAGGCCCACCGGGTCTTATTCATGCCCAGATGTCCCCCGTATTTAGTGGCGTGCACCTCTTCCAAAATATCGTTCCGTAGATTGCCTACATGAGGTACCGCAATCTCTTTTGTTCGCCACCAAAGATCGTGTTCCCAAGTCAAATGCTTAGTGTTTTGTGGGTTCTGGAACCAGGAATCGATATGATATCCTGTGCGAATTCGTTTCAGAAAACCACTAAACGCGATCTCGCTCACTTTCGCCGCAGCTAGTATGCCAAAACAGGCAGCAAAAACAGCCGCATGTTCGGTATCGTCAAGCCCAGTTGCTGCCCCTATCGGCTGTCTGCTGAGGGGGTCAGCCAGGTTCGTCGAACCCGCACGATAACGAATGTCGAAACTGAACCCACTAAGGAGTTCAGCCCAACGGGCCTGACGGCGAGTGAGGGTAGCTTGGGTAGAAAAGTATGTGTTCGGACAATGGTCAGTGGTGACCACGAACTCTACCCCTTCCAAGTAACATCGCCATGTTCTTAGCGCATGCACGACAGCCAACAACTCTTGTTCGGTTGTCGTGTAGCGTTGCTCTGCCGGGGAGAGTTTTCTACTCTCGAATGCCACAGGGCGTCCATCTTGCAGGAGTACTGCTCCAAGTCCCACCGTTGAGGCGTCCGTAACCACCTCGTATGGTTTCTGTGGGTCTGGCAACACCAAAACTGGTGCGTTAGTTAATTTATGCTTGACCTCTTCGAAGGCCTTTGGCACTGTGGGGTCCACTCCCATGTGCACCCTTTCCGGGTTAATGCCGTGAGGGGAGCGACTATCGTGGAATAATTTTCCAAGAAGCGACGAAAATAATTCGCCAGGCCTAGGAATGATCGAACTTGGCCAACGTCGCGTGGGACGGGCCACTCCTGGACAGCTGCTACCTTCTTGGGGTCCACTTTCAACCCGTTATGCCCCACCACGTGCCCCAAATACTCTAGCTCACGTTTGTAAAAATGGCATTTCCACAAACGCGCGTAGTATTTGTGCTCGCGTAATTTTCCGAGGACCCATTTCAAATGTTCCGTATGCTCGTCTTCGGTTTTCGAGTATACCAAGATATCATCGAGGTACACCAAGACGAACTGGCCAATCGCATCACGAAACACATCGTTCATCGCCCTCTGGAAAGAGGCCGGAGCGTTGGTCAAGCCGAAACTTAACACACGCCACTGAAAATGGCCGAACGGCGAACGGAAAGCCGTCTTTGGAACATCGTCCTCTGTTATACGTAATTGGTGATAGCCTTGCGCCAAATCCAATGCACTGAACCATTGCGCACCCTGTAGTCGATCAAATAAATCTTCTATCCGCGGAAGTGGATATCTGTTTTTGATCGTAATTTTATTCAGGGCTCGATAATCGACGCACATGCGCAGTCCGCCCCCTTTCTTGTGAACGAACAAGATAGGTGCTCCGTATGGGGACGCGCTAGGTTCTATCCATCCCTTCCTGAGGTATTCCTCAATCTGTTGTTTAGCCTCCTCGTACTCAGCTGGACTGAGGCGATACAGAGGTCTAAATGGTGGTGCCTTTCCTGGTTCCACCGGGATGGTATGGCCGACTGCACGGTCGGGAGGTAACCCGTCCGGAATTGGCTCAAAAACCTCAGAATATTCCTCTGCCAACGCCTTCATTTGAGGTGGGAAATCTTCAATAATCTGTGAAGTAGTTGGTTCGGAGTCTAGCTGTACAACAAAAAGTGTATCAGCTACCTTGACATGCTCTTTGAATTGGAGAGCCGACGCAAAGCGTACGTCAAGAGCTAATGTTTGAGGTTTGTCGTCCAGTGCTTGGCGCTTTGGGACTTGCCATTGAAACGTCGTCCCATTCTTTGTGAAGGAAAGCGTGTTATCTTGGAAATTTAAGATCACCTCATTAGGCCGTAGCCAATCCATTCCCAAGACAATGTCTACGCCTGCTAGGAGGGGTAAGACAAAAACGCTGACGGTCTCCTGATATCCTTGGATATCCAGGTTGACCAATGCATGTCCTCTGCATGGGATGATCCTGTCATCCCCCAGACGGATAGAACAAGATGGTCCTTGAACAGGAACCTTCAAATATCCCATCCACTTCTCATCGATCAATGACGCAGTTGCACCCGTATCAACTAGGATCGAGGCACTGCGCCCATTTACGCAACCCGAAAACAAAAGGTTTTGCTGATGTTTGGGTCGGATAGGACATGCTGTAATATCAGTGGGTGGCAAATAATATGCCTTAATACCATGCTTGCTACGTCCAAAAGAACGAGCTTGTGTCCACCACACGTGGTGTCCTTTATCCCACTGCGCTAACACACTCCATCCTTGAAGCGCTCGAAATAATTTACCTCGAACTGTGCGCGTTACCATTCCAACCGCAGTTAGAGGGTGCGCTTGGGTGCAACGACCCACCACATCCATTATCCAAGGCAAATTGTGGTGATCACAAAAGATAATTGAGAATTTATCTCGTAATGATTCAACTGCGATACTTTCCAGTGGGTGAAATCGAGAGGCAAACGAAGAACTTTCATTAAAAGAAAATGCATACACACATGCAATTTTGCAATCAACAAGGCACTCGAGTTTCAACAACTCCTCATCCCGCAGGACCACTGCCTCATCCTCTCGATCTGCTATGCCCGCTAGGTACCCACCCCCTAGTTGGGCTTTGCAAAATCCCGCTGGCTGCCCGAGGGACCACTGCCGTCATTGCGCTTGTTGTCCGTCTTAGCCTTGCCAGAGTACTTCACCGCCTTGCGGTGGCGGCACTCATAGCCCTTGTGTCCAGGCTTGCCGCACTTGAAGCAGCTCTGGACATTGCTTGGTCCACCCTCGTTGACCTTCTTGGCCTTATGGTCAGCCTGCTGCCCCTGCTGGAAGGGCCTCTTGTGGTTCCCGCCCTTCCAAGGCGTCCCCTGCTGCCTTCCGCTAGGACCCGCAGTGCTAGACGACGGCCTTGAAGTCTGCTGCGGCTGGGTAGTGGTTTTGGCATAAGCACGGAAATGCTTATCAGTGGTCCCCACCACGCGCTTCACGTGATCATAGGACCGCCATGCCTCCCCAGCCCCATCCGTCATATGCATGTTCTTGAGGTGCTCAGGCAACCCCCTGAAGAACAGGTGGATCTTTTCGCCTTCGCTCATACGTTCCGCCGGTTTCTGGAGCACCCAGATCTCCTCGAACTCCACGGCGTACTGCTGCACTGTGCGGTTCCCGCACTGCAGCTTCTCAAGGCGACTGCGCACCTCCAGCTGGGTCGGCTGGACCTGAAAAGCTTGCTTGAGCGCAGAGGCAAATTCCTCCCACCCAAACGGCTTCCTATCCGCCTCAGCCTGGATCTTGCTGCCATACACCACTCGCTGTGCATTCTGGTCCAGCACGGTGGTGGCAGCGACGACGCGAGCGTCGTCTTGGACCTTGTGCGCCTTGAACAGGTCGGTCATCATCGACAGCCACGCAGCCACGTCCGTCTTGCCATGGATGAATGGCGGCAGGGTGATTGGCAGAGAGCCAAAGGCCTGCGTGCTCGGCTCAGCAGCGCGCTGCGTAGAAGGACCGGGGTCACCCACTGCACCACCAGAGCGAGAAGGGTTGGTGCGACCGCTAGCAGAGTTGGCGGGCGGGTCCGCTCGCGGTGCAGGGCGATACATGGTCTCCCTCCGAAGGGCGTTGAAAGCCTCGCGCAGATCGTTGATCTTTGAGGTCTGCCGCGCCAGCTGGTGACCTTGCTCCCGCGCATCGTGCTTCATGTTCTTGAGCTCAACTTCCAGGTACTTGATTTTGTTGTCCTGGTCAGAGAGATCCCTCTTGAGGTTGGTGATGAGTGACTGCTGCTGCTGGATGCGCGTATCCTGCTCAGCAGCATGGTCCTGCAGCTTAGCAATTTCAGCATGCAAAATGTCCTCTTCCCCTTCCAACTCAATGTCATCCTCCTGAGACTCCCCTTCCTGCTCCTTGGAATTTTCAGCAGCTGAAGGGTCCTTAGCAGGGGAGTTTTCAGCAGGTTCCTTTTCAGCCATTTCCTCATCCAAGTTGTTCAGGTCAATCTTCTGCACACAAGCTTCCAAATCAGCATGGGAGTTGTTGCCTTCAACACCACCAGCATTGGAGTTGGTAGAAGCCATTTAGAGCAAAGTCACTGTATTATAAAAATGAGTTACAGATCTACTGCAAATTGTTACCACCGCAGTGAATAACCAAGATTTTCTCCAGAGGAGAAATGTCTTCAATAGATCTTACAACCACAACAATGTGAAAAACACCTCTGTTGCAAAATATCCTTACCACCGCAGTGGATAAGGCAAGAACAATCACAAAGTGATTGTCTTCAACAGAGAATGTTAATTCACACAGGTTGCAACTTCTTCACAGTAGCTCCAATGGTTCCACCAGCAGGGAGGGAGGGAGGGCTTAGAACTCTTGGAGAAGCTTGTAGATCTTGAAAACTGCTTGAGTAGCTTGTAGTCTTCACAAGTTTATAATATGGTGATTACAATGAAAATCACAACTCCTCCAAGAAAAGAAAAATGAAAAATCCTCTTAGATGCCCACAAGGCGAGGATCTACTAATAGCTCTGATTACCAATGTAACGGATCTACTAAGAAAAAGGGCATTTACCCATATAAAGATAAGTTCTAACACAAACAGAGAGTAGCAGCTCCTGGAAATCACTAAGTCTGGAGAGTGCTAGGAGATGCAGTAACAAACTGTGGAAGGTGAGTTGAGGAGAAGACAATCCTATTTCCCAATTGATTTGTTGGGAGTAGGAAATGAGGAATGAGCCAAGAGGCTTCAGACCCCTTCCCTAGACCCCCTTGGGGTGCAGCCACCTTCCCCATGGCAAGGAGGGGTGCACTCCCTTGGGTCTTGCCCATGTGGCAACAAACAAGATTTTCAACCAATTACATTTTAGATAGCAAGGATAAGAATTGCATAGCAATCACAAACCTGTATTTGTTTCTCATTGGTTGTGTTTGAAGTGAGCGGCGGAAACATTGTCGACTCACTCTTGGGGCTGTGATCTGATTGGTTGAATTAGTGATGAGGTGAACTTACGTGGGTTATGTTTGAACAAGCTCAAACCAATTGCGTAAGTTTGACTCAGCAACAATTTCGATTGGTTGGTTTCCCAATCAATCCTGAATTGCCCGTAAGTCTCGCTTTCCCAACCAACCAGATTTCCCCACATTTCTCCCTCAGCTGGTTCGACGTATCGAGACCAGCTGGGGTTGGGTACGGATGTTACCCATCACGGGTTCTTGGGAGGTCGGTGATGAAATCCAGTGAAACGCTTTCCCAAGGTTCACTCGGAATTTCAAGTGGTTGAAGCAAACCACCAGGCTTCTGTGTGTCCGGTTTGTTACGTGCGCACGTGTCACAACGTGCCACAAACTGTTGGACATCACTACCGACTCCAGGCCACCAATATACATCGCGTAAGGCCCACCGGGTCTTATTCATGCCCAGATGTCCCCCGTATTTAGTGGCGTGCACCTCTTCCAAAATATCGTTCCGTAGATTGCCTACATGAGGTACCGCAATCTCTTTTGTTCGCCACCAAAGATCGTGTTCCCAAGTCAAATGCTTAGTGTTTTGTGGGTTCTGGAACCAGGAATCGATATGATATCCTGTGCGAATTCGTTTCAGAAAACCACTAAACGCGATCTCGCTCACTTTCGCCGCAGCTAGTATGCCAAAACAGGCAGCAAAAACAGCCGCATGTTCGGTATCGTCAAGCCCAGTTGCTGCCCCTATCGGCTGTCTGCTGAGGGGGTCAGCCAGGTTCGTCGAACCCGCACGATAACGAATGTCGAAACTGAACCCACTAAGGAGTTCAGCCCAACGGGCCTGACGGCGAGTGAGGGTAGCTTGGGTAGAAAAGTATGTGTTCGGACAATGGTCAGTGGTGACCACGAACTCTACCCCTTCCAAGTAACATCGCCATGTTCTTAGCGCATGCACGACAGCCAACAACTCTTGTTCGGTTGTCGTGTAGCGTTGCTCTGCCGGGGAGAGTTTTCTACTCTCGAATGCCACAGGGCGTCCATCTTGCAGGAGTACTGCTCCAAGTCCCACCGTTGAGGCGTCCGTAACCACCTCGTATGGTTTCTGTGGGTCTGGCAACACCAAAACTGGTGCGTTAGTTAATTTATGCTTGACCTCTTCGAAGGCCTTTGGCACTGTGGGGTCCACTCCCATGTGCACCCTTTCCGGGTTAATGCCGTGAGGGGAGCGACTATCGTGGAATAATTTTCCAAGAAGCGACGAAAATAATTCGCCAGGCCTAGGAATGATCGAACTTGGCCAACGTCGCGTGGGACGGGCCACTCCTGGACAGCTGCTACCTTCTTGGGGTCCACTTTCAACCCGTTATGCCCCACCACGTGCCCCAAATACTCTAGCTCACGTTTGTAAAAATGGCATTTCCACAAACGCGCGTAGTATTTGTGCTCGCGTAATTTTCCGAGGACCCATTTCAAATGTTCCGTATGCTCGTCTTCGGTTTTCGAGTATACCAAGATATCATCGAGGTACACCAAGACGAACTGGCCAATCGCATCACGAAACACATCGTTCATCGCCCTCTGGAAAGAGGCCGGAGCGTTGGTCAAGCCGAAACTTAACACACGCCACTGAAAATGGCCGAACGGCGAACGGAAAGCCGTCTTTGGAACATCGTCCTCTGTTATACGTAATTGGTGATAGCCTTGCGCCAAATCCAGTGCACTGAACCATTGCGCACCCTGTAGTCGATCAAATAAATCTTCTATCCGCGGAAGTGGATATCTGTTTTTGATCGTAATTTTATTCAGGGCTCGATAATCGACGCACATGCGCAGTCCGCCCCCTTTCTTGTGAACGAACAAGATAGGTGCTCCGTATGGGGACGCGCTAGGTTCTATCCATCCCTTCCTGAGGTATTCCTCAATCTGTTGTTTAGCCTCCTCGTACTCAGCTGGACTGAGGCGATACAGAGGTCTAAATGGTGGTGCCTTTCCTGGTTCCACCGGGATGGTATGGCCGACTGCACGGTCGGGAGGTAACCCGTCCGGAATTGGCTCAAAAACCTCAGAATATTCCTCTGCCAACGCCTTCATTTGAGGTGGGAAATCTTCAATAATCTGTGAAGTAGTTGGTTCGGAGTCTAGCTGTACAACAAAAAGTGTATCAGCTACCTTGACATGCTCTTTGAATTGGAGAGCCGACGCAAAGCGTACGTCAAGAGCTAATGTTTGAGGTTTGTCGTCCAGTGCTTGGCGCTTTGGGACTTGCCATTGAAACGTCGTCCCATTCTTTGTGAAGGAAAGCGTGTTATCTTGGAAATTTAAGATCACCTCATTAGGCCGTAGCCAATCCATTCCCAAGACAATGTCTACGCCTGCTAGGAGGGGTAAGACAAAAACGCTGACGGTCTCCTGATATCCTTGGATATCCAGGTTGACCAATGCATGTCCTCTGCATGGGATGATCCTGTCATCCCCCAGACGGATAGAACAAGATGGTCCTTGAACAGGAACCTTCAAATATCCCATCCACTTCTCATCGATCAATGACGCAGTTGCACCCGTATCAACTAGGATCGAGGCACTGCGCCCATTTACGCAACCCGAAAACAAAAGGTTTTGCTGATGTTTGGGTCGGATAGGACATGCTGTAATATCAGTGGGTGGCAAATAATATGCCTTAATACCATGCTTGCTACGTCCAAAAGAACGAGCTTGTGTCCACCACACGTGGTGTCCTTTATCCCACTGCGCTAACACACTCCATCCTTGAAGCGCTCGAAATAATTTACCTCGAACTGTGCGCGTTACCATTCCAACCGCAGTTAGAGGGTGCGCTTGGGTGCAACGACCCACCACATCCATTATCCAAGGCAAATTGTGGTGATCACAAAAGATAATTGAGAATTTATCTCGTAATGATTCAACTGCGATACTTTCCAGTGGGTGAAATCGAGAGGCAAACGAAGAACTTTCATTAAAAGAAAATGCATACACACATGCAATTTTGCAATCAACAAGGCACTCGAGTTTCAACAACTCCTCATCCCGCAGGACCACTGCCTCATCCTCTCGATCTGCTATGCCCGCTAGGTACCCACCCCCTAGTTGGGCTTTGCAAAATCCCGCTGGCTGCCCGAGGGACCACTGCCGTCATTGCGCTTGTTGTCCGTCTTAGCCTTGCCAGAGTACTTCACCGCCTTGCGGTGGCGGCACTCATAGCCCTTGTGTCCAGGCTTGCCGCACTTGAAGCAGCTCTGGACATTGCTTGGTCCACCCTCGTTGACCTTCTTGGCCTTATGGTCAGCCTGCTGCCCCTGCTGGAAGGGCCTCTTGTGGTTCCCGCCCTTCCAAGGCGTCCCCTGCTGCCTTCCGCTAGGACCCGCAGTGCTAGACGACGGCCTTGAAGTCTGCTGCGGCTGGGTAGTGGTTTTGGCATAAGCACGGAAATGCTTATCAGTGGTCCCCACCACGCGCTTCACGTGATCATAGGACCGCCATGCCTCCCCAGCCCCATCCGTCATATGCATGTTCTTGAGGTGCTCAGGCAACCCCCTGAAGAACAGGTGGATCTTTTCGCCTTCGCTCATACGTTCCGCCGGTTTCTGGAGCACCCAGATCTCCTCGAACTCCACGGCGTACTGCTGCACTGTGCGGTTCCCGCACTGCAGCTTCTCAAGGCGACTGCGCACCTCCAGCTGGGTCGGCTGGACCTGAAAAGCTTGCTTGAGCGCAGAGGCAAATTCCTCCCACCCAAACGGCTTCCTATCCGCCTCAGCCTGGATCTTGCTGCCATACACCACTCGCTGTGCATTCTGGTCCAGCACGGTGGTGGCAGCGACGACGCGAGCGTCGTCTTGGACCTTGTGCGCCTTGAACAGGTCGGTCATCATCGACAGCCACGCAGCCACGTCCGTCTTGCCATGGATGAATGGCGGCAGGGTGATTGGCAGAGAGCCAAAGGCCTGCGTGCTCGGCTCAGCAGCGCGCTGCGTAGAAGGACCGGGGTCACCCACTGCACCACCAGAGCGAGAAGGGTTGGTGCGACCGCTAGCAGAGTTGGCGGGCGGGTCCGCTCGCGGTGCAGGGCGATACATGGTCTCCCTCCGAAGGGCGTTGAAAGCCTCGCGCAGATCGTTGATCTTTGAGGTCTGCCGCGCCAGCTGGTGACCTTGCTCCCGCGCATCGTGCTTCATGTTCTTGAGCTCAACTTCCAGGTACTTGATTTTGTTGTCCTGGTCAGAGAGATCCCTCTTGAGGTTGGTGATGAGTGACTGCTGCTGCTGGATGCGCGTATCCTGCTCAGCAGCATGGTCCTGCAGCTTAGCAATTTCAGCATGCAAAATGTCCTCTTCCCCTTCCAACTCAATGTCATCCTCCTGAGACTCCCCTTCCTGCTCCTTGGAATTTTCAGCAGCTGAAGGGTCCTTAGCAGGGGAGTTTTCAGCAGGTTCCTTTTCAGCCATTTCCTCATCCAAGTTGTTCAGGTCAATCTTCTGCACACAAGCTTCCAAATCAGCATGGGAGTTGTTGCCTTCAACACCACCAGCATTGGAGTTGGTAGAAGCCATTTAGAGCAAAGTCACTGTATTATAAAAATGAGTTACAGATCTACTGCAAATTGTTACCACCGCAGTGAATAACCAAGATTTTCTCCAGAGGAGAAATGTCTTCAATAGATCTTACAACCACAACAATGTGAAAAACACCTCTGTTGCAAAATATCCTTACCACCGCAGTGGATAAGGCAAGAACAATCACAAAGTGATTCTCTTCAACAGAGAATGTTAATTCACACAGGTTGCAACTTCTTCACAGTAGCTCCAATGGTTCCACCAGCAGGGAGGGAGGGAGGGCTTAGAACTCTTGGAGAAGCTTGTAGATCTTGAAAACTGCTTGAGTAGCTTGTAGTCTTCACAAGTTTATAATATGGTGATTACAATGAAAATCACAACTCCTCCAAGAAAAGAAAAATGAAAAATCCTCTTAGATGCCCACAAGGCGAGGATCTACTAATAGCTCTGATTACCAATGTAACGGATCTACTAAGAAAAAGGGCATTTACCCATATAAAGATAAGTTCTAACACAAACAGAGAGTAGCAGCTCCTGGAAATCACTAAGTCTGGAGAGTGCTAGGAGATGCAGTAACAAACTGTGGAAGGTGAGTTGAGGAGAAGACAATCCTATTTCCCAATTGATTTGTTGGGAGTAGGAAATGAGGAATGAGCCAAGAGGCTTCAGACCCCCTTGGGGTGCAGCCACCTTCCCCATGGCAAGGAGGGGTGCACTCCCTTGGGTCTTGCCCATGTGGCAACAAACAAGATTTTCAACCAATTACATTTTAGATAGCAAGGATAAGAATTGCATAGCAATCACAAACCTGTATTTGTTTCTCATTGGTTGTGTTTGAAGTGAGCGGCGGAAACATTGTCGACTCACTCTTGGGGCTGTGATCTGATTGGTTGAATTAGTGATGAGGTGAACTTACGTGGGTTATGTTTGAACAAGCTCAAACCAATTGCGTAAGTTTGACTCAGCAACAATTTCGATTGGTTGGTTTCCCAATCAATCCTGAATTGCCCGTAAGTCTCGCTTTCCCAACCAACCAGATTTCCCCACATTTCTCCCTCAGCTGGTTCGACGTATCGAGACCAGCTGGGGTTGGGTACGGATGTTACCCATCACGGGTTCTTGGGAGGTCGGTGATGAAATCCAGTGAAACGCTTTCCCAAGGTTCACTCGGAATTTCAAGTGGTTGAAGCAAACCACCAGGCTTCTGTGTGTCCGGTTTGTTACGTGCGCACGTGTCACAACGTGCCACAAACTGTTGGACATCACTACCGACTCCAGGCCACCAATATACATCGCGTAAGGCCCACCGGGTCTTATTCATGCCCAGATGTCCCCCGTATTTAGTGGCGTGCACCTCTTCCAAAATATCGTTCCGTAGATTGCCTACATGAGGTACCGCAATCTCTTTTGTTCGCCACCAAAGATCGTGTTCCCAAGTCAAATGCTTAGTGTTTTGTGGGTTCTGGAACCAGGAATCGATATGATATCCTGTGCGAATTCGTTTCAGAAAACCACTAAACGCGATCTCGCTCACTTTCGCCGCAGCTAGTATGCCAAAACAGGCAGCAAAAACAGCCGCATGTTCGGTATCGTCAAGCCCAGTTGCTGCCCCTATCGGCTGTCTGCTGAGGGGGTCAGCCAGGTTCGTCGAACCCGCACGATAACGAATGTCGAAACTGAACCCACTAAGGAGTTCAGCCCAACGGGCCTGACGGCGAGTGAGGGTAGCTTGGGTAGAAAAGTATGTGTTCGGACAATGGTCAGTGGTGACCACGAACTCTACCCCTTCCAAGTAACATCGCCATGTTCTTAGCGCATGCACGACAGCCAACAACTCTTGTTCGGTTGTCGTGTAGCGTTGCTCTGCCGGGGAGAGTTTTCTACTCTCGAATGCCACAGGGCGTCCATCTTGCAGGAGTACTGCTCCAAGTCCCACCGTTGAGGCGTCCGTAACCACCTCGTATGGTTTCTGTGGGTCTGGCAACACCAAAACTGGTGCGTTAGTTAATTTATGCTTGACCTCTTCGAAGGCCTTTTGGCACTGTGGGGTCCACTCCCATGTGCACCCTTTCCGGGTTAATGCCGTGAGGGGAGCGACTATCGTGGAATAATTTTCCAAGAAGCGACGAAAATAATTCGCCAGGCCTAGGAATGATCGAACTTGGCCAACGTCGCGTGGGACGGGCCACTCCTGGACAGCTGCTACCTTCTTGGGGTCCACTTTCAACCCGTTATGCCCCACCACGTGCCCCAAATACTCTAGCTCACGTTTGTAAAAATGGCATTTCCACAAACGCGCGTAGTATTTGTGCTCGCGTAATTTTCCGAGGACCCATTTCAAATGTTCCGTATGCTCGTCTTCGGTTTTCGAGTATACCAAGATATCATCGAGGTACACCAAGACGAACTGGCCAATCGCATCACGAAACACATCGTTCATCGCCCTCTGGAAAGAGGCCGGAGCGTTGGTCAAGCCGAAACTTAACACACGCCACTGAAAATGGCCGAACGGCGAACGGAAAGCCGTCTTTGGAACATCGTCCTCTGTTATACGTAATTGGTGATAGCCTTGCGCCAAATCCAGTGCACTGAACCATTGCGCACCCTGTAGTCGATCAAATAAATCTTCTATCCGCGGAAGTGGATATCTGTTTTTGATCGTAATTTTATTCAGGGCTCGATAATCGACGCACATGCGCAGTCCGCCCCCTTTCTTGTGAACGAACAAGATAGGTGCTCCGTATGGGGACGCGCTAGGTTCTATCCATCCCTTCCTGAGGTATTCCTCAATCTGTTGTTTAGCCTCCTCGTACTCAGCTGGACTGAGGCGATACAGAGGTCTAAATGGTGGTGCCTTTCCTGGTTCCACCGGGATGGTATGGCCGACTGCACGGTCGGGAGGTAACCCGTCCGGAATTGGCTCAAAAACCTCAGAATATTCCTCTGCCAACGCCTTCATTTGAGGTGGGAAATCTTCAATAATCTGTGAAGTAGTTGGTTCGGAGTCTAGCTGTACAACAAAAAGTGTATCAGCTACCTTGACATGCTCTTTGAATTGGAGAGCCGACGCAAAGCGTACGTCAAGAGCTAATGTTTGAGGTTTGTCGTCCAGTGCTTGGCGCTTTGGGACTTGCCATTGAAACGTCGTCCCATTCTTTGTGAAGGAAAGCGTGTTATCTTGGAAATTTAAGATCACCTCATTAGGCCGTAGCCAATCCATTCCCAAGACAATGTCTACGCCTGCTAGGAGGGGTAAGACAAAAACGCTGACGGTCTCCTGATATCCTTGGATATCCAGGTTGACCAATGCATGTCCTCTGCATGGGATGATCCTGTCATCCCCCAGACGGATAGAACAAGATGGTCCTTGAACAGGAACCTTCAAATATCCCATCCACTTCTCATCGATCAATGACGCAGTTGCACCCGTATCAACTAGGATCGAGGCACTGCGCCCATTTACGCAACCCGAAAACAAAAGGTTTTGCTGATGTTTGGGTCGGATAGGACATGCTGTAATATCAGTGGGTGGCAAATAATATGCCTTAATACCATGCTTGCTACGTCCAAAAGAACGAGCTTGTGTCCACCACACGTGGTGTCCTTTATCCCACTGCGCTAACACACTCCATCCTTGAAGCGCTCGAAATAATTTACCTCGAACTGTGCGCGTTACCATTCCAACCGCAGTTAGAGGGTGCGCTTGGGTGCAACGACCCACCACATCCATTATCCAAGGCAAATTGTGGTGATCACAAAAGATAATTGAGAATTTATCTCGTAATGATTCAACTGCGATACTTTCCAGTGGGTGAAATCGAGAGGCAAACGAAGAACTTTCATTAAAAGAAAATGCATACACACATGCAATTTTGCAATCAACAAGGCACTCGAGTTTCAACAACTCCTCATCCCGCAGGACCACTGCCTCATCCTCTCGATCTGCTATGCCCGCTAGGTACCCACCCCCTAGTTGGGCTTTGCAAAATCCCGCTGGCTGCCCGAGGGACCACTGCCGTCATTGCGCTTGTTGTCCGTCTTAGCCTTGCCAGAGTACTTCACCGCCTTGCGGTGGCGGCACTCATAGCCCTTGTGTCCAGGCTTGCCGCACTTGAAGCAGCTCTGGACATTGCTTGGTCCACCCTCGTTGACCTTCTTGGCCTTATGGTCAGCCTGCTGCCCCTGCTGGAAGGGCCTCTTGTGGTTCCCGCCCTTCCAAGGCGTCCCCTGCTGCCTTCCGCTAGGACCCGCAGTGCTAGACGACGGCCTTGAAGTCTGCTGCGGCTGGGTAGTGGTTTTGGCATAAGCACGGAAATGCTTATCAGTGGTCCCCACCACGCGCTTCACGTGATCATAGGACCGCCATGCCTCCCCAGCCCCATCCGTCATATGCATGTTCTTGAGGTGCTCAGGCAACCCCCTGAAGAACAGGTGGATCTTTTCGCCTTCGCTCATACGTTCCGCCGGTTTCTGGAGCACCCAGATCTCCTCGAACTCCACGGCGTACTGCTGCACTGTGCGGTTCCCGCACTGCAGCTTCTCAAGGCGACTGCGCACCTCCAGCTGGGTCGGCTGGACCTGAAAAGCTTGCTTGAGCGCAGAGGCAAATTCCTCCCACCCAAACGGCTTCCTATCCGCCTCAGCCTGGATCTTGCTGCCATACACCACTCGCTGTGCATTCTGGTCCAGCACGGTGGTGGCAGCGACGACGCGAGCGTCGTCTTGGACCTTGTGCGCCTTGAACAGGTCGGTCATCATCGACAGCCACGCAGCCACGTCCGTCTTGCCATGGATGAATGGCGGCAGGGTGATTGGCAGAGAGCCAAAGGCCTGCGTGCTCGGCTCAGCAGCGCGCTGCGTAGAAGGACCGGGGTCACCCACTGCACCACCAGAGCGAGAAGGGTTGGTGCGACCGCTAGCAGAGTTGGCGGGCGGGTCCGCTCGCGGTGCAGGGCGATACATGGTCTCCCTCCGAAGGGCGTTGAAAGCCTCGCGCAGATCGTTGATCTTTGAGGTCTGCCGCGCCAGCTGGTGACCTTGCTCCCGCGCATCGTGCTTCATGTTCTTGAGCTCAACTTCCAGGTACTTGATTTTGTTGTCCTGGTCAGAGAGATCCCTCTTGAGGTTGGTGATGAGTGACTGCTGCTGCTGGATGCGCGTATCCTGCTCAGCAGCATGGTCCTGCAGCTTAGCAATTTCAGCATGCAAAATGTCCTCTTCCCCTTCCAACTCAATGTCATCCTCCTGAGACTCCCCTTCCTGCTCCTTGGAATTTTCAGCAGCTGAAGGGTCCTTAGCAGGGGAGTTTTCAGCAGGTTCCTTTTCAGCCATTTCCTCATCCAAGTTGTTCAGGTCAATCTTCTGCACACAAGCTTCCAAATCAGCATGGGAGTTGTTGCCTTCAACACCACCAGCATTGGAGTTGGTAGAAGCCATTTAGAGCAAAGTCACTGTATTATAAAAATGAGTTACAGATCTACTGCAAATTGTTACCACCGCAGTGAATAACCAAGATTTTCTCCAGAGGAGAAATGTCTTCAATAGATCTTACAACCACAACAATGTGAAAAACACCTCTGTTGCAAAATATCCTTACCACCGCAGTGGATAAGGCAAGAACAATCACAAAGTGATTCTCTTCAACAGAGAATGTTAATTCACACAGGTTGCAACTTCTTCACAGTAGCTCCAATGGTTCCACCAGCAGGGAGGGAGGGAGGGCTTAGAACTCTTGGAGAAGCTTGTAGATCTTGAAAACTGCTTGAGTAGCTTGTAGTCTTCACAAGTTTATAATATGGTGATTACAATGAAAATCACAACTCCTCCAAGAAAAGAAAAATGAAAAATCCTCTTAGATGCCCACAAGGCGAGGATCTACTAATAGCTCTGATTACCAATGTAACGGATCTACTAAGAAAAAGGGCATTTACCCATATAAAGATAAGTTCTAACACAAACAGAGAGTAGCAGCTCCTGGAAATCACTAAGTCTGGAGAGTGCTAGGAGATGCAGTAACAAACTGTGGAAGGTGAGTTGAGGAGAAGACAATCCTATTTCCCAATTGATTTGTTGGGAGTAGGAAATGAGGAATGAGCCAAGAGGCTTCAGACCCCCTTGGGGTGCAGCCACCTTCCCCATGGCAAGGAGGGGTGCACTCCCTTGGGTCTTGCCCATGTGGCAACAAACAAGATTTTCAACCAATTACATTTTAGATAGCAAGGATAAGAATTGCATAGCAATCACAAACCTGTATTTGTTTCTCATTGGTTGTGTTTGAAGTGAGCGGCGGAAACATTGTCGACTCACTCTTGGGGCTGTGATCTGATTGGTTGAATTAGTGATGAGGTGAACTTACGTGGGTTATGTTTGAACAAGCTCAAACCAATTGCGTAAGTTTGACTCAGCAACAATTTCGATTGGTTGGTTTCCCAATCAATCCTGAATTGCCCGTAAGTCTCGCTTTCCCAACCAACCAGATTTCCCCACATTTCTCCCTCAGCTGGTTCGACGTATCGAGACCAGCTGGGGTTGGGTACGGATGTTACAGATGAGGACGATCGGCCCGTGGGATAATATACGTCGCAACGACAGCAGTGACGCACAGAATGCGCGAGAGTCGGAACTGTGGCGGGAGATGCGCACCGTGCACGTCACGGGCGTGACGCCCTGGGCCGTGAGCATAGCTGCGAAAGTCGAGCAGAGAACGCGTTGGCGGAGGTCCAAAAAAGCGGGCGAACGCGATGATGTGGTCGAAGGAGGAAGGGCTATTGGTCGAAGGGGATGGGTCGCGTCACTTGGGGCGTGATCATCGCTGAGGAAGTCGCAGATCTGCTCGGGTGTGGCGAAAGTTCAATGGTGTTACATCGCAGAGAACGCGTTAACGCGTTCCTTGGCGTGGCGAAAGCTCTATGGAGCGCGTGAACGCGATGATGCAGCCGACGCGTTCCATGGCGTGGCGAAGGCTCCGAGCAGGCGAAGGCAATGACGAAATCGAAGCATAGAGTCTATGGGGGGGGGGAAAGCGAAGATGCGGTCGAAGCATAGAGCTTATGGCGGGGGGAACGCAATGCTGTAGTCGAAGCATAGAGCCTATGGGGGAGGGGGGGGGGGAACGCGATAGTGCAGTTGGGGGGGGGGGGGGGGGGGGGGGGGGGGGGGGGGGGGGCGTTGAGTCTATGGCGCGGTGGGAACGCGATGACGAGGTTGAAGGGGTGTTTCGCATCATTCATGTGCCGAATCAATCTTGTTTATTTTGGTGTGCAATGGTGTAGAGCGGTGAAGTTGCATAACAATTGTTAACGGGATATAGAATAGATCACGTCAAGAACTTATTGAAGGACTCGCACTATTAGAAGTTGATATTTGGAAGTGAATCTTGGGGATATTTACTGTTCAGCTCACGAGGGAGATCAGGTCAGCACCAATCCACCCTTCAAAATCTGCTCTTCCCCTGCCTGCCATACACTCTTTTCCTGCCATACGTACCTTCTCTGACGCCAGTTATGTGTACTAACCCAGGGAAATACAACACCTTAACAACATCTTTCTTAGATGAAATCCACTCATTGCACAAAAGAAAACCGGAAGAAGAAACTAACATACAAACATAGTACACACAAAGATCATAACAAAGCAGGGGTCTAGAGGCAAATGCAACAGGAGTCCACCCAAGTAAATCAGACTTCTAGCACCCACTGACAAGAGATTGAAAAGGAACAGCTGCAGAGGCCAGCGTGCTGACACTGTGGCTTCAAACTGGGGCTCCAGGAGACGACGCACGTGCCTGCGAAGAGGTGCTCAACTCACCCATACGTGGCAGCCACACACAGCTGCAATCAAGGAGGCAATATTTGGGCAGTGGAAGAGGATTTTAGACTCTCATGGACATCTCGTCAGTGCATTGCCATACAACCATGAAGCCAGAAGCACCCCTCACAACAGAATAGTTAGAAATGCGGCCAAACTCACTTTATCAATGTCGCGCTGGGAATCGCGGAAGGAGATCCAAGGGTTGAGCCTGCAGAGGTCCACCATGGTGGCTTTATTGGATACTGCCACCTGCTTGAAGTCCACCACTTTGCCAATCACTGTGTCTTTTGTACACTTCGGCTTGGCCTTGGATGGGTCGCGCTCCGCACACAGGGAGTGGAACACGGGGAGGCGAGAGGAGCAGTTAACACCGGGGTTGAGCTGCTGGAAGGTGTCCTTGGAGATGTTGAGAAGCTGAGCCACGGACGAGCATGTGTCGGCCTGTGGGAGGGAAAGGGAAGGGGAAAATGGCAAGGAGGGGGTTGGAGCAGTTGACACCGGGGTTGAGCTGCTGGAAGGTGTCCTTGGAGATGTTGAGAAGCTGAGCCACGGACGAGCATGTGTCGGCCTGTGGGAGGGAAAGGGAAGGGGAAAATGGCAAGGAGGGGGTTGGAGCAGTTGACACCGGGGTTGAGCTGCTGGAAGGTGTCCTTGGAGATGTTGAGAAGCTGAGCCACGGACGAGCATGTGTCGGCCTGTGGGAGGGAAAGGGAAGGGGAAAATGGCAAGGAGGGGGTTGGAGCAGTTGACACCGGGGTTGAGCTGCTGGAAGGTGTCCTTGGAGATGTTGAGAAGCTGAGCCACGGACGAGCATGTGTCGGCCTGTGGGAGGGAAAGGGAAGGGGAAAATGGCAAGGAGGGGGTTGGAGCAGTTGACACCGGGGTTGAGCTGCTGGAAGGTGTCCCTGGAGATGTTGAGAAGCTGAGCCACGGACGAGCATGTGTCGGCCTGTGGGAGGGAAAGGGAAGGGGAAAATGGCAAGGAGGGGGTTGGAGCAGTTGACACCGGGGTTGAGCTGCTGGAAGGTGTCCTTGGAGATGTTGAGAAGCTGAGCCACGGACGAGCATGTGTCGGCCTGTGGGAGGGAAAGGGAAGGGGAAAATGGCAAGGAGGGGGTTGGAGCAGTTGACACCGGGGTTGAGCTGCTGGAAGGTGTCCTTGGAGATGTTGAGAAGCTGAGCCACGGACGAGCATGTGTCGGCCTGTGGGAGGGAAAGGGAAGGGGAAAATGGCAAGGAGGGGGTTGGAGCAGTTGACACCGGGGTTGAGCTGCTGGAAGGTGTCCTTGGAGATGTTGAGAAGCTGAGCCACGGACGAGCATGTGTCGGCCTGTGGGAGGGAAAGGGAAGGGGAAAATGGCAAGGAGGGGGTTGGAGCAGTTGACACCGGGGTTGAGCTGCTGGAAGGTGTCCTTGGAGATGTTGAGAAGCTGAGCCACGGACGAGCATGTGTCGGCCTGTGGGAGCGGAAGGAAAGGAAAAAGAAGGGAAGGAAATGCGGCATGGGAAGTGGAACGCAGGAACTGATAAGGTGCAAAAAGGAATGGGTAGCACGCACGTGGTCTTCCTGCCTGCTTGGGCGAAGGATGGTCAGACGAGAAGTGAAGCGGAAGCACAGAAGATGGCAGCACATGGTGCCACTGGTAGCACATGGCAGCACATGGTGCCACTGGTAGCACATGGCAGCACATGGTGCCACTGGTAGCACATGGCAGCACATGGTGCCACTGGTAGCACATGGCAGCACATGGTGCCACTGGTAGCACATGGTGCCAGGCATCCGCACTATCCATACATGATGCATGGGATGCTCTCAAAGCAGAAGGCTAGGACATAACGTGTGAGACTCACCGGCTGGGTGTAGTAGAAGGCAGAGCAAGCTGGCAAAATCTCTTTCACCACGAGCTCGCGATCCTGAGGAAGGAGAGCAGAGCAGTCGATACCCTGGAGTGGATGGGGCAGTGAGAGAGGGAGTGGAAGAGGGTGAGCAGAGGAAGAGGGTGAGCGAGAGGTGAGCTGGAAAGAGAAGGAGAGAGTGAGAGAGGCGGAGGAGGTAAGAGAAGGGAGGAGGGAGAGAGGGACAGAGACAAGAATGGCTCAAAATGCTGAGTAAACGAACAAAGACTTTCAGGAGTTGAGATAGTTTGACAGAACAGGTCTTGCCTGATTCAACTCGGCGCAGCATGTGGCCTGCTGCAGCGTGAGGCCTGCTGCAGAAGCAAGAATGGCTTGAGATGCCCAAAGGATTGAGATGGCTTGGTGCAGCACCTCACCGGGTTCATATCGGTGAACTGCTGCAGCGTGAGGCCATACATGGTGTACACGTCCTTGCACCTCCAGTCGCGGTCCAGCACTGTGACGGTCGATATGGCCTCAAACACCTCCTCTGCAAACGCTCAATGGGAAGGGTGACATGCCACGTACTTGGTCAGCTAGTGGATGATAAGAGTAAACTACAGTCAGTCAGTCACAACAGCACCTCCAGTCGCGTTCCAGCACTGTGACGGTCAAACACCTCCTCTGCACACGTTCAATGGGAAGGGTGACATGCCACGTACTTTGTCAGCTACGGATGATAAGAGTGAACTACAGTCGGTCACAACAGCACCTCCAGTCGCGGTCCAGCACTGTGACGGTCGATATGGCCTCAAACACCTCCTCTGCCATTGCCCGAGAAAAACACACACCTTACGTTTCAAATGTGTAAACGAAGGTTTGCAGTAAAGACTACAGTATGGAGCGTTGTGAGCAGAAAAGAGCGCTGTGAGCAGAGGAGAGGAGAGCGTTGTGAGCAGAAGAGAGAGCGTTGTGAGCAGAGGAGAGGAGAGCGTACCACAGAATTGGCCGTAAGAGCGGCGGTTGGGCGGACAGATGCAGGAGAGGTCCTTGGTGCCGCGGTTGAAGCACGTGCCTCCCATGCACGGATTCACCCTGTCCTCGCTGCACAGGCCCGCTGGCGAGGGACACATAAAAGAAGAAGAGGGCAAGCACTGACGTGGCAAGGAGGATACAACTGGGGTACACGTGGGGCAAGCGTAGAGTAGAGAAGACGAGGAGCATCGCGGTTGTCAACACTGAAATGCTATGATATGGCAATGGTGCTTCCTAGGGGCAAAGGCGATTGTGAGACCAACACAGCTCCTAGCAGGAACGAGATCGGTTTGGGAGAGAATGGATAGTGGGATGGCGAGAATGGATAGTTGGGCCTTACTGCTTGAACCCTCTGCGTCGGGATACTCAAAACGACTCGCTGTTGTGTTGCTGGCTGAAGTGGTGCTGTTGCTGGCAGGAGCTGTTGTGTTGCTGGCAGGAGCAGTGGAGTTGCTGGCAGGAGCTGTTGTGTTGCTGGCAGGAGCAGTGGTGTTGCTGGCAGGAGCTGTTGTGTTGCTGGCAGGAGCTGTTGTGTTGCTGGCAGGGGCTGTTGTGTTGCTGGCAGGGGCTGTTGTGTTGCTGGCAGGGGCTGTTGTGTTGCTGGCAGGGGCTGTTGCGTTGCTGGCAGGAGCTGTGGTGTTGCTGGCAGGAGCTGTGGTGTTGCTGGCAGGAGCTGTGGTGTTGCTGGCAGGAATGGTGGTGTCGCTAGGAGTAGGTGTGGTGTCGCTGGGAGGAGGTGAAGGGTATTGGGCAGCCACGCAAATCTGCAAAAGAGAGATGCATCAGTTGCAATGAATCACACAGGAATCAAGGACTGGAATCAGAAGAAGCTACAAACAAAGCATGCTGCATGCATGTAGATGAAAGCATGCCTCAATCCTGGTTTCGAACACATCTGGCTCCTAGGAAACTGGCACTCATCCATCTTACAAAATGTATGACGTACAGATGAAATATGTATCCGCAACCAGCAACTAGTAATGCACCACCACCAACTACTTCGTCGTTAGCCTTAAACTCACACTATCTCTGTCGCGCTGAGAACTGCGCAGGAAGATCCAGGGGTTGAGCCTGCAGAGATCCACCATGCTTGAAGTCCACCTTGCTGCCGATCTGTATCACTTTCTCACAGCTCGGACTGGTATTGGTTGGGTCACTACTCCGTTGTTTGCCTCGAACTTACATTATCACTGTCCCGCTGGGAATTGCGGAAGGAGATCCAGGGGTTGAGCCTGCAGAGGTCCACCATGGTGGCTCCATTGGACGCCGCCACCTGCTTGAAGTCCACCTTGCTGCCGATCTGTATCGTATTCTCACAGCTCGGACTGGCCTTGGCTGGGTCGCGCTCCACACAGAGAGAGCGGAACGCAGTGAGGCTAGATGAGCAGCTAACACCGGGGTTGAGCTGCTGCAGGGTGTCCTCGGTGATGTTGAGAAACTGAGCCACGGACGAGCATGTGTCGGCCTGTGAAAGTGGAAGGGAAGTGCAAAATGGAGGGGAAGGGAGGGGGAGAGAGGGGAGGGGGAGGGGGAGGGGGCGGGGGGGGGGGGTGGAGGCTGTTGAGAAGGAAAGGGGTGGGCAAAGGGAGGGAAGGAAGATGCGGCAAACACTGAGATAGTGGAACGTTGGGAACGATAAGGTGCAAAAAAGGACCGAGTGGCATGTGGTCTTCCTGCTGCTTGAGGGAAGAATAGTCAGGAGGAGAGCGAAGGGTGAAGAGGAAGAACATGACAGAACATGGCAGCACATGGCAGCACATGGCAGCACATGGCAGCACATGGCAGCACATGGCAGCACATGGCAGCACATGGCAGCACATGGCAGCACATGGCAGCACATGGCAGCACATGGCAGCACATGGCAGCACATGGCAGCACATGGCAGCACATGGCAGCACATGGCAGCACGTGGCAGCACATGGCAGCACGTGGCAGCACAAGGTATCACTGGTATCCCCACTATCCACACGTGATGCATGGGATGCTCCCAGAGGAGATACATCACGCCAGACTCACAGGCTGGGTGTGATAGAAGGCAGAGCAAGCCGGCATCCACACGCGATGCATATGATTCTCTCATAGCGCATGCAACACGCCAAACTCACTGGCTGGGTGTAGTAAAAGGTAGTGCAAGCCGGCATCCATACGTGATGCATGTGATTCTCTCATAGCGCACACAGCACGCCAAATTCACATGCTGCGTGTGGCAGAAGGCAGAGCAAGCCGGCATCCATACGTGATGCATGTTATTCTCTCATAGCAGATACTGCACGCCAAACTCACAGTCTGGGTGTAGCAGAAGGCAGAGCAAGCCGGCATCCATACGTAATGCATGTGATTCTCCCATAGCGCATACAACACGCCAAACTCACCGGCTGAGTGTAGTAGAAGGCAGAGCAAGCCGCCATCCATAAGTGATGCATGGGATGCTCCCAGAGGAGATACAACACGCCAAACTTACCGGCTGGGTGTAGTAGAAGGCAGTGCAAGCTTCTAGAAGCTCTTTCACCGCGAGCTCGCGACCCTTAGGAAGGAGAACAGAGCAGTCGATACCCTGGAGGGACAGGGGCAGAGGGAGACAGTGGAGCAGAGGGAGAGAGGGGGGGTGAGAGAGAAAGAGGGTGAGCGAGAAGTGAGGTGGAAAGCAAGCGAGGGGGAGGTTGGCAGAGGCGGAGGGGGTAATCGAGGGGGGGAAAGACAGAAACAAGAATCATGGCTCGAGAAGGTCAATAAAGGCATAGAAGCTTGCAGGGCTGACCAAGCTCATGTCATTGAAGTTTGAGAAAAACCACGAGTCTAATTGACCCACTTGAAATTGCTGCAGGTCTCAAAGCACCTCCAATCAGACCCACGGGACGGGGCTCACCGGGTTCATGGTGGTGAACTGCTGCAGAGAGAGCTTGAGAGGCGGAGGGGGTAACTGCTGAATCATCTCACCGGGTTCATGGCGGTGAACTGCTGCAGTGAGAGAGCGTGAGAGGCGGAGGGGGTAACTGCTGCAGCATCTCACCGGGTTCATGGCGGTGAACTGCTGCAGCGTGAGGCCATACATGGTGTACACGTCCTTGCACCTCCAGTCGCTGCTTGCGACTGTGATGGACGAAATGGGCTCCGAATCCTGGCCTGCACACGCACAACGTCAAGGGTGAAAGTGCCACGTACTTGATTCTTCGGACTGTGATGCCTGGGACTGTGATGCCTGGGACTGTGGTGCCTGGGACTGTGGTGGTGGAAATGGCCTCCCAGTCCTGACATGAACACGCTCAATGTGAAGGGTGAAGATGCCTTGAGTGAAGATGCGTGTTCATGTCAGGACTGTGGGTTTCAATGCACACCTTGAGTTTCAATGTGTAGATAAGTGTTTGCAGTATAGACTATTGTATGGAGAGTTATGAGCAGAGGAGAGCGTACCACAGTAGCTGCCCTGAGATTGAGGGCGGTGGTTGGGCAGACAGACGCACGTGTGATGCGATGCAAGTGTTTGCAGTACACACTACTGATGATGCAATGCGAACAGAGGGAGAGAGCGAGCTTACCACAGTAGCTGCCTTGAGAGCGGTGGTTGGGCAGACAGACGCACGTGTGATGACATGCACGTGTTTTCAGTAGACTACTGATGGTGCGATGCAAGCAGCGGGAGGGAGTGCTTACCACAGTAGCTGCCTTGAGAGCGGTGGTTGGGCAGACAGACGCACGTCCTGCCCTTGCGACGGTCGATGCACGTGCCTCCCAAGCACGGGTTGTCTCTATCATTGCCACACGCGCCCGCTGGCAGGGAGGGGGTGGTGGAGGAGGGGGGGTGGGCAGGAGTTTTCCTTGGTGCCGCGGTCGATGCACGTGCCCCCCAAGCACGGGTTGACTCTGTCATTGCCACACACGCCCGCTGGTGGGGGGGGGGGGGGGGGGGGGGGGGGGACACAAAAGAAGCGGAGGAGGGCAAGCACTGAAGTAGCAGCAAGGTGGTGCAGGGGTTGTCCCTGGGGCCGCGGTTGAAGCTGCCCCCCAAGCACGGGTTGACTCTGTCATTGCCACACGCGCCTGCTGGGGGAAGACACACACACACAAGGAGCAGAGGATGGCAGTTGACTTTTGAGTCGACTGAAAAGTCAACGTGCCGCCCAAGCACGGGTTGACTCTGTCATTGCCACACGCGCTCGCTGGCAAGAGACACACACAAGGAGCAGAGGATGGGAGTGGCAAGGAGAATACAGCCGTTGACTCGGACATTGCAACACACGCCCGTTGGCGGGGGACACACACACACACACACACAAGAGGAGCAGAGGATGGCAGGCACAAAGGGAACCCGCAAGGAGGAAACAATTGGGGGGTCCGAGGGGCAGGAAGGGAAGGGCAGGGAAGGCGAGGAGCATCGCTGCTGCCAGTACTGAAATGCTTTGATCAGGCAACAGTGCTTCCCAGGCCCACCATAGCCCCCTGAGTTTTGGCGAGTAAGGAGAACGGGATGGCGAGCAACTGCATTGGGGCTTACATCTTGAGCTCTCTTCGTGGGGCTTACATTTCAAGCTCTCAGCGTCGGGGTACTCAGTGATGCAGCAGGCGAACTTGAAGACAGGAGTGTTTTGAGACGTATCAAAACACTCCGTTCTTCACGCGATGCCGAGCAAGTGCTAAGACTTACATTTTGAACTCTCAACGTCGGGGTACTCAGTGATGCAGCGGGCGAACTTGACTGCCTTGTCGAGGGGCTTGGATCTGGGCACGGCACAGGAAGGCACCATGAAAGCACGAGGAGGCACATGAGATGAGGGCAGGGTGTTAGTCAGTCAGTTGGTGGGTGATGAAGGCATGGCATGGCGTTACGAGCGGGGATGAAGGCAGGCATGGCATGGCGTTACGAGCGGGGATGAAGGCAGGCATGGCATGGCGTTACGAGCGGGGATGAAGGCAGGCATGGCATGGCGTTACGAGCGGGGATGAAGGCAGGCATGGCATGGCGTTACGAGCGGGGATGAAGGCAGGCATGGCATGGCGTTACAAGCGGGGATGAAGGCAGGCATGGCATGGCGTTACGAGCGGGGATGAAGGCAGGCATGGCATGGCGTTACGAGCGGGGATGAAGGCAGGCATGGCATGGCGTTACGAGCGGGGATGAAGGCAGGCATGGCATGGCGTTACGAGCGGGGATGAAGGCATGGCGTAAAGAGCACAGACGCAGATAGAGCGAGAGCGAAGAACGAAGGGCTCACCTCTGCTCGCCTGGCGCGAGAGTGCCCACCGCCTTCCCCGTGCGCTTGGGACTCGTGAAGAACTTAAGTGACTCAGAGAGTCGACTCAAGTCACCTAGACTGGGAACGAAGGGCCTTGCCTGCCCCGTGAGAGCGAGGGGCTCACCTCTGCTCGCCTTGGAGGAGAGTGTCCACCGCCTTGCCCGTGCACTTGGCACTCGTGAAGAACTGAAGTGACTCTAGAGTCGAATCAAAAGTCACATACACTGAGAACGAAGGGCCCTGCCTTCCCCGTGAGAACGAAGGGCCCTGCCTGCCCCGTGAGAACGAAGGGGATAGATGGACAACGAAGGGCTCACCTCTGCTCGCCTTGGAGGAGAGTGTCCACCGCTTTCCCCGTGCACTTGGAACTTGTGAAGAACTGAATCGCCATGCAATCCGCCTTGCCGTCCTGCTGCCACGACACCTGCACGCTCCTATTCCCGCTGCTGGCTGGGATGGCGACACAGCGGCCCGGGCTGAAGGTGAGAGCGCGGCTGTTGATCTTCATTTTCGTGCCCACCACGCTCGCCGCATTACTGCCCGATGCTGCAGGGATGGGAGCAC